TTGCGTTGAATTTAATAAAAGTAGTTAATGTTCATCACTTCTGGTCACCTTTACTGCTGAAAATTTTTGGCTCTTATTGTGGTCAGAAATTTCCACCAGATAGTGGTAGTAATGGTAGCAATGCAGACCAGTCGTCAGTTTTTAGTTCTAAAAAAACATAAGATGCGAATATCAGTTTAGAAACACTAATATTATAACAAATTAATTTAAAAAATATCACAATTCTTAAATCGTAGCATTTTAAATTTTTTTCATACCTTTATCCACTATTCGGATATTTTACTGTTCCTCCATTCTAAAACAAAAACTAGGCTTAATATATTCACTATAATCCATATTATTAAAATGCCTCGTTGAATTTAATTTAAAAAAATCAAAATATCCACGAAATTTATAAAAGCACTTCCTCAAATGCCGCAATATTAACGATTACCTTTTTTTATTCCGTTATAATAGGTAGACTTTGGATAAAAATTGAGATGTAAATTATTTTTTAATAATTTTCTAGTTTACAATAATATTTTCAATAATTTATTTTTTAATTATTTTTTAATATTCCTTTCAAATATTCGAATATTCCTTACGATTCTTTGATTTAAAATAGGTTGATTTAAGCACAACGAAAATATCTTGCTTTAATCAATTTCAGCTAAAAAATCTACTAAAAATCTCAAATGTTAAATGTTAAATGTAAATGTATAAATAAATAAATTAAATTAAATTATAATATAATTATAATATAATATAATATAATATAATATAATATAATATAATATAATATATATAATATAATATAATATAATATATAATATAATATAATAATTATATAATATATTATATAAAAATCTATAAATGTTCTATAAAAAATAATTTGTGAATTTGTTTGCTGCCATTGTACTGAAAAGTGCTGAAAAGAATGAGAAAAATACAAATGAAAAAATAAGAATAATTTTAAAAGAAATAAGCGTTAAATTTCCTTTTCTTTTTAAACTATAATCTCAACGCATTCTACATTTACCCTTCTTTGACATTTTAATAAAAAAGTTTTTATTCATTGATAAGTTTCGAAAAATAGTTGTATTTAGCTTCGACTCAAGTTAAGCATTGTGGATCGAGTTCATAAAAGCGATAGAACTACCATTAAAGATGAAATTCGAATGGTACTGGCGACTATCTGTTCTATCCTCTGGTGTTCCATTGGGTTTCATTAATAAGTGTAACCATTCAAGGCCAGAAATGGTGAGCATTATTGGAAGAAGAAGAGAGAATCTATGCTATGGGTTTCGACTCCTTCATTTTATATTCGCGTGAATATTTTCGTTTGTCATATATGAATAACCACTATTTTTAAAATTTTTTCCAAAATATATTTAAGCGATTTTAATTTTACCTGATTGTTGGAGGTTCAATTTTGATTTTAATGACTTTTTTCATGAGTGATTGGTCATTCGATATGAATTTCTTATTAAGATAAGATATACGTATTCTTATTAAGATATTACGTATTAAGATGCAGGGATTTTAGTTTTATTAACGGTTTTTTAAGCGAGTTGCTTCATTCAGATTCGTGATGCTGTCGTTTTAATAGGGTTCTTTGTTTTTTTCATCTAACGTCAGCTAAAAGCGATTTTATTAGGCTCAGCAACAATTCCACATCGCCTTTTCCTGATATTTTAACGACATTGATAAGTATTTTAATTTTTAAATATTGAGTCAACAAATATATTCTATTCTATAATAATTTTCAACTTTTGATATAGAAAAGATTATCAATCATATTTAATGTGATTGGCAAGTTTTTTGCTGCAGGATTTTTTCTCTTTCGCCTTTTTTTATTCTGGCTAGAAAAATTTTTTTTATTTTGTTCGAAAAAGGAGAAATGTAGATTTTAAAATCGCTCGTCAATCCAGAATTTTCATCCAGAAATTTTAAAACCCAGAAAATCTTTGGTTTTTAAAGGACAGCATCGAATTCAAAAATACTTCGATATTTATTGTAAGCCAACAGGATTTAGTAGCGATTTAATGCAGCTTCCATAATAATTTCGTTTTCCTTGTTTAATGAAGTTTTATTATATGAGAAGCGGATATTTATAACACCACACAGCTAAGATGAAGGCAAAGGCTTTTTTTCAATTGGAATTAAAAAAATTGGTACTTTTATTAAATTCGGATGAAAAAATTTTTTCTTACACTTGAAGCAAATAAAGACCTGAAATTATGGGCATATAACGTTATTTTATTTGTATTTTAAAAGCTCATGTCATACTTTTTAGGCTAATTGTGCTAGTTATAAGGATTAAGCCTTTGGCCAGGTACCATAATTATTCGCTTAACAACATTGGTACAAATTTTGACAACAGCTATTTTTTCCGCCTATTTATTCTGAAGATTAAATAATAAAAAATTGGAAAATTTTGACATTTCTAGCATTGGGTTAAATGGGACGGGAAGTTATTCTGAAAAGTGACAATGAACGGATTCTTCTCGTTAAAAAATGTTTTTGAATTCTTTATTAAAGCATAAGATGCTTATTAAATAAGGTGCTTCAAATAAGATCCTCTTTTGTATAAACTTCATAAACTTGTAAATTTCTTGCAATTATCAATCTATGCCTGGAAGCTCATTAGTAAGCTTATTAGTATATGTATGTGTTCATGTAGAAATACAATTTAGCGAAATGGGCATTTTCACGCTTCACATTTTTGCCATCGAATTCACATTAACGAATGTTCTGCCTCAGGCATCTTTTTCATCGATCTGTGCGTTTCAAAAGTAAATATCAAACAACTGCCTTATGATTATATTCAAATATCAAATTGCAACGGAAGATTTCACCTTATGCCATTTTATTACTTTCGTTGTATATGATCAGCAAAGATATTTTATCCAGAAAATCTTTCATACATTGTTTGCCATTCGTTTTGGATTGCATAACAAGAAACAGCTGCCGTTCATTTTTTTCGTCTCTTCTCATTTTGCCCCTCTTCACTTGTATTTTTTCACATGTTTAACGATATTATGTACATATTTGAAGGATTGAGAAATAGTGCCAAGTACTGTAGTTTCTTTGCTTAATTCTCCTTATAAAAAATTAAGTTTTAACTGATGAATCCTAATTTCTTAGTTGTGGAATTTTTTGTTTTTGTTGCTTTATCATTTCGTCAGAAAAATCAGTCTTTTCAATTTAATTTTAATTTAATATAAGGAAGCCTTTTGGCTTTTAAAATTATGAGATAAGTGGTTGCAGAGATTTCACTTTATGCAGTACTTTCAGAAAATAACAATTTTTTGTTATTAACGATGGCTTAATTTTAATAAACTTGTAAATTTGTAAATTTCTTGCCATTAGTGACGAAATCTTTCTATCAATTATTTTTTTTTACAGTAATTAACAATAAGTGATAAATTACCATCTTTAACTGTGATCTTCCAAAAAAACTACTTGGTGGTATAAGTATATTAAGTTTCCTGAACCATCAAGATAATTATTAAAGCTTAAAACTTCTCTTTTTATTTGCGAACCACGAAAAAATTTTTGAAAATTTTTTTGAAAAAATTGAACTGTAATTTTAATTTATTATTTTACATTAGTATATTTAATAAGGGATAGAATGGCTTAGTGGGTTGCTCAATTAGGAGCACCGATACATAGATTCTATTCCTCTTAGGAGTAAACCTGTCCGAAATTCGGGATATTTGTCCAGTGCGGCAAGCCAAGCCAGTTTAACCAGTAATGGTGAGGACTCTTTAAAAAAAAAAAAAATTCCTTAATATTCAGATTCATTTTGTGCATATTTTCTCATTTAATGGTAAGTTGATTTATTTACTGGTCTATTAACGGAATGAACTCTCGAAATTTTCACATCTAACGAAGCTTCGATATTATTTTTTCCAAGAACGCAAATCATTTCTGGTTAATCTCGCACCAAATTTTGCCAAGGAATCATTTAACGATATAAATACAGGTAAATCGCGGATATTACCCGGATTATTTCCAGGAAAACTCGTTTCAAAACAAGAGCAAAACCGGCTGAGTCATCCTACTCCCTTTTTGACATTTTATTTAATTTACTCATAATTTTCATGGTCGTTAAGCCTATAGCAAATTTACTGGCTGCTTAATTCTAAAAAATTAGAGATAAAATTCATTGATTGATACCTTTTTTCTATGAATTCCATTGAATATAATAGATTTGTGCATAAATTATGCAGCGGATAAATAATCGAAAATTTTTAGTGCACATCTTAAAAGGCCTTAAAATTTAAGATTAAAAAATTTTACCTCTTTTTATCGCAGAAAATTGATCGCTTTCGGGATATTCAACCAATTTCATAATTTTAAACTACGAATTTTAATTTCATGTTGTATGTGATTGGTTTTTTTTCAGACAAAGAAATAAATATATATTTAAACATATTAAGCTTAGCTCATTCCTATCGATTTCCTGCATTTCTTCAATTTATTTATTCAATATTCTTAGTCAGCTAAGCAACCAGGATGGCCGATGATTTGTTGGACAATTATAACCCTCTGTATGATGCACATCTGCGACAATATTTCGCTTCGCCACATATGCGGAAACATTTACGGGAAATTGGACTCGTTCGCATTTTTTTGTTTATCTTTTTTGCTAAATCAATTTTTTAAAGGAAATATAAAGGAAATATAATGTTGAAATTAAAAAAGCGATAACTTTTACACAATTACTTGCAAAAAAGGTCTGAATCGTCCAAATCGATGAATTGTTTCATTTCGCTCTTTTAATTCAATAGAGTAAAGCTCGCCCAATTTTCCAGAAATTTTGGCCCTTTTCTGAAATTCCATAAATCATTGTTTTCCGGGACACCTTAACAAAGCTGCCAGTTCGTCTTCGTTCATTTCTAGAAATTTTCAAATAAATTGATTCAGTCGAATAGGTGAAGTGCATTTTTCAGCTTCAGAATGACGAAGAATGTTTGGTTGTTAATGAAAATGAGATATATAAACGCCATTACGCAATGATCGATATGATGCTCAAGAATCGTGAAGCGCAATTAGCTAAATTAGTGGATATTCAAAAAAAGCTCGAGGTGGCTGAAAAGATTGAAATATGTCGAAGGATAAGAGTAAGTCGATTTTCAAATTGTTCTTTATTCTGACAATAAAAGCAAAGCTCATTTGTGGGATTCCCAATCTTTTAACTGCTTAAAATTAGTTTCGCGTTTACTGTTTTCGCTAACCGATCAGTGTAAATATCTATAATCAATGCGAACAATCCTAATCGCGAAATCAAAATCATATATCCTTTTTTTCAAAGTTCAAACTTACATGTTTATCTTTAGCAGCTTTCTTTTAACAACTCAGCACTCATCATTACTGATTAGTAGCTCCGTTGGCTACGGCGCCAAGACACCTCCAAGCCGCTCGGTCCGATGCCATCTTTAGCATTCCTTTTTTTTGGCTTTGATGCACATAACTGAATTGTAAGACAAGCTGAACATAAGATGAAATCATGGAACAAAAGTAGTGGTTGAATCGAAAGTAGGTAATTGAGCAGAAAATTGATGATTTCAATACTTCGTTACAAGCGCTTTTCAGTAACCATTTGCTAAATTTTTATATTTGCTGTCTGTCAGTTTTATTTATCTTCTTATCACAATTTTTTTATTCGTTTCAGAATGGCATGACGAATCCAGAATCGGGTCGACGAGCCAAGCCTTCACGTAGTCTTAGTAGAAGTATTTCCTAAAATTCATATTGTAAAATTCATAATTCAAATTCCTCTTCATTGCATCAATCTTTAGATTTTACATTCTTTAAATTCTTCTCTCGCATAATTCAATCTGTTATATAGTTTTCTACCACCTTCAATTTTAAGCTTCGAGATCTGCGGAAGGATTAGAATGATCTGATTAAGAGACGAAAACTTAATTATGAACCAATGAGAAAAAAGAAACTTCTAATTAAAATTAAAATTTTGATTTTCATGTTATGTTTAAATTCCCAATTGCTTTGATAGATCGGAGAGATATAAATAATCGACGAAGGAGATCATCTGCTGGTGTGGAAGACAAGGATTTGATTAAGAAAATCGAGAGAGAATATGAAGAACCACCAATTGAAAATCCTTCTTTAGTCTACAATCGGCTTTCAGTAAAAATACTCAAATATCGCTTTTTACACAAAGTATTTTTACATTGTGGTACGTATTTTAAAGTAACATCTAAATTAGTATTTAAAATAAATCATTTCAGTTGGATGATAAAACTTTGTCGACTTACATGGATCAATTAAGGCGTCAGTTAAATAAACTTGAACGTTTTCGTGAAATATCATTTGGCCCACATTCCATTGCACGTCATCAAGGTGAACAGCATCAGTCATGGTTCTTCCGTCGCAGGTCATTACCCACCTTACAAACTTCAGACCAAACTAATAACCAGCATGCTTCATTAAGGTATAGTAATCTGCACATTTCATTAACTCTTTGATTACTTAAATTTTAAAAAATGCACAGCAGTGATTTCTTAATAGCATCGCTAACGCCAACTCATTAATGCTTAACAAAAAATATATAAAAAATTAATAAAAAGAATGATCCTTGCTGGTTTCTTTTCAGTGATAATTCTTCAAAGAAATTATTTGAATATTGAAAATTTTATTTCGTTCAAAAATTTTAAAAATAGCAAATTTCATTAACATTCGACTAAAGTTTTGTTTCGCAGATTTCTTTGTTTCCCTAATGAATTTAAAATTAATAAGAATTTCTTAAAAAAATTGATTGAATCTGCTAAGAATTTGACCACTTATTTGATTTCTAAAAAAATTCTGCTGTGAATATCCTCACCCAATTCCAGACGGTTATTGGTTAATTGCAGAAGTATGAATTCAGTAAAAATACGAGGGTGAACTGATAAATACTTGTTGCCAAAACATTTGGATGATTCGCATGATAGTCCAACATGCCCTTTCATTTCCAAACAAAGACGAAATAGTGAATCGAATCGATTACCATCCATTGGGAAGAGATTAAGAAATAAAATACGCTCTAATGAACTGCAGTTTCCAAATCGCCTTTGGCCAATAGGTCGAAATTTTAGAGAAAATTTTGAAATTTTTTAGAGAAAAATATTCTTGAAGAATGTATGCTGCTTGGTGAATTATCAAGAATAATCAGTTCTACTGATGAATTGCCATTATTTTAATAAAATTTTTTTTTTGAATTAATTGAAAACTTATTATTTGTTATCGAAATTTAAAAAATAGCAAATCCACCAAATCTAATTAAAATTAACTTAGCTAATATTCTTATTAGTTAACCTATTTAACTTACTATTTAACCTATTTAACATGTTATGAATTAATCACTTTTCTTAAGATTTAATTTTACTTAATCAATTATATACACTACTATAAGAATTGAGACATGAGGAATAATGCAAAATTCGGAATTTTTGTTTACAGGCCACATTCGAAAGGGACAAAGAGAGATAAAAAGAAAGATGAAGCTGTTCTGCAGAAGCCTTCAAAGAAAAAAGACACAAATAGTTCGGAATCAGTAAAAGTCCCAGTATTCCCACATATAGTTCCAAGCGATAATGTTAAGGCGGAAATTAAATTCGTGGATAAAGAAGCTTCAGATGAAATTATCAATGCAAAATACAGCCAATTAAGAAAAGAAAATCCACGAAAAACGGAATATTTAAGCAGTGAAGAGATCTTATCACCAAGTGTATACGATGACTATCAAAAAACAAATGAAAATGCAAAACTGATGAAGGAAAATGTAACATTTGAAGTCCATGATAATGAGGGAATAAAAGTTGAATATGAAGAAACTGAAATAAATTGTGAAGAACATGGTCAAAGAATTAAACGAAAGGCCGAAATTTGTAGCGATGATAGTAATAGACTGGAAAATATAAGTCGTTTTGGTGGTGAACTAAATCCATTGTTTGCGAACCAAGAAGGTACAAATTTCGAATGTGAACATAAAAACAAATATAATAATGAAAAACCAGAAGTTAAAGGGTACCCGGCAATGGAACCAGATATGGCCATCAGGAGTTTCGAAACAGATGAGCCATACGTAGATCTTCAAATATTTAAATCTGCAGGCACGCTTATAGATGCAGAAAAAATAGCACCAGATGATGCGCCACATGAACCAATTTCAAACAAAGCTTTTAATGAAATTAATATTATGGAAATTCCTTTAGATGATTCTACATCGAGATCTGAAACAAATTCATTGAATCCAAATTTGTTAGTCTCATCGGAATCCGATTTATTAGCAGAAATTGATAAGACACATATTTCACATGAAGGCGATAAGGACGTGAACGACGATGAACATGCATTACTCGAAACTTCTGAAAAATATTCATCGCATGAGGACCAATTCTCGAATGAACTACAAGTATCTTCCGAAACCATGATTGAGAAATCAATATTGTCGCACTCAGCTAATGAAGAACCGGAATTTAATAATGATATTACCATGTATCAATCACATGGATATACTAAAGAACAAACTGAAATCGAGCTTCGAGTTCACAAAGCCATTACTGATGAAACATCAAATAAAAATAATGACCAAAAATTTGCTGAAGTTACAATAAATGATCAAGAAACAAAGTCAGAATTAAATAATCATATAGGTAAAAAACTGCGGAAAGAAAAGGAGTGTTTCTACGGTGGCCAATTTTCAGTTCAGGAGGAGCAGAACAACGACAAACAGCAAAAATCCGAAATCTCGACGGTTATTAGAGGTAAAGATGGTTTTTCTGACAATTATATGAATAATAGCTTTGAATTCACGAATAATGATGAATCTTTATCGTCTCAAATCTATGAAAATCACAGCAATATAATAGATAAAGAAGAACAAAATGGAGAAAATTATTTGGAACAAAACTATTTAGCAGAAAATCACACGCCAATTAATAATGAGACTATAGTACAAAATGTTGCAAATCACCATTTTGACCAAGGTGTTAATTATGATACTGATGAAAAAGAAATCAAAGAACACAGTCTAAATTTAGAATGCATGAATTCGCAATTCAGTGGTGATAATACAAAACTTCATGGTGAAATATTGCTTAGCAAAGATTATGGACATGGTTCCAATAAACAGAAACGAGATTTCGATGACGAAAGTGCTGAAGAAGAATTATTTGATAAAGATCGACAACAACAATCGGAAGGGAAATTTTACTATACAACTGAGGAATCGAGAGATGGAATGACAGATCATTCCACGACCAATGTTGATAATGGCTTAGGGGATGGCAAACAAGAAAATAATGCTGTTAAGCGAACACCAATACATTACTCGAATAATTATAAATCTAATAACAATAATGAACGAGATGAAGATACGAAGCAGCGTTTACTGGCAGAAGTGCCTATAAAGATTGATATAAGCGAAGGATGCAAGTTCAATGATCAAAATGATGCGATAAGCGAAGTGAAATATGGTACGAATAACCAAGAATTTTTATACAATAATACTTCCACGAGCTCAGAAATCAATTTTCCACAAGAAATATGCACAGATCCCACCCCTCAAGATTACAAAAATAAGACCACTGGTGACAGCATTGAATGGCCTGAGGAAAGAAGAATTAGACTGAGCATAGAAGCATTCAAAAATCTTCAAGCTGTTGCCGAAGTTGATATTCCTGAAATAAACCGGCAAAACATTGAGATATTGCTGAATGACGAACAATCATCAGATAAAGCAGTTGGGATAGCAAAGGGTAACTCATTCGGATTCGAAAACTATCATACTCCAAGCAAGCAACCAATTGCCACATCAATTCATTCGCAAATGCAGGATATGGAGGATGCAAATGCCAATATAAAAAATAGAAGCGATCAAGCGGTTGCTGGTGAACAAACCGCCGATCAGTCTAATGGAAATTCAATTGGAAATTGAAAATGTTTAGCTTTTCCTACAAATATTTTATTGGGCTATCTCTGCAAAATGAATTGCACCTTTAATAACAAGGTTGACTCATTCCAAGGAATTGGTGCTGAACTTCCACTCGATTCATGTAAAATGGCTTATTAGCCGATAGATTTATTTTTGATAAATTTTAGATGATTTTTCATTAGCAGATCTGAAGAATAGCGCAAAATTAATCTATATAATCCATAAGCTCAATCATCTTCCTCTCAGCAATTAGCTTACTACTTTCCCTGCTTGCATCTAAATAATTTTAAAGGAAAATCTTTTATTTAATTCACAGAGACTTGACCACATCTACGTTGACAATGAGGTAAAATATATTTGTAAATCTACGGCAGGGATTGCAGATTTCTGTTGAATGTTCGAGAGTCCTTGGTTATTCAAAAGCCCAAAGTGACAATTAGCGAATTTTTGAAATCTTTTTAACTCTTTAATTTAAATTATTTAATTTTGTCAAATGTTATGGCCAGAAGCGTTGTTAAAACAAAATTAACGAAAATAAACGATTAAAAATAATAGTAAGAATTAATGGTCAAAATAAACATTATACATAATGCACTCGTATATGATACTGGCGCTGCCACAGTTGTCATAAATTTGGTAAGTTACTCAGTCAAGCTAATACGATAAAATACGATTATGATGGAGGTAAATAATAAAGGTCACCAAAATGGTTCTAAATATCTATTAATCTTTTCATTTAATTCATTAATATATTTTATTTTTATTCAAATGTAAGAAGAGAAATCTGCAAAATGAATAAATGAATTATTTATTATAATATCTATTATAATATAATATGATCATTAATTCTTCGTCAAACAGCATTCCTCAGGCCGGCTGGCTACAAAAGTAAAACATTTTCAAACTGATCCGGTGCCATTTCTGACAGCAATAGAATCCAGACCCTTTTCCATCGTCCTAGTCCACATATTGCTAACGCATCTATACTTTCAAAATCTTTCCTAATTATATCATCCCAGTTCTTGATTGGCTTTTCTCGCTTTTGTCATCCATTAGAGGCTTTAATAAATAATCTAATTTTTTCGTCAATGTCTGTGGGGTGACGAAGAACCAGCGAAGGCAACACTCTGAGGCATTATTAATATTATATTAATGAAGACGGTATCTGAGCGAAGATAGATGCATTATGAAAGATTTTATATGCTCGCTGAATCCGTATAAGTATCTTAGGCATGAGTGGTCCAAGATAGGCAATATCCTACCCTTGATATCCTCTACTCTCATTAGCCAACTCGCAGCCATGTAGCAAATTGCAGCTAAACAGTCGCCAGTCGCCAACTTTCGTTTTAATTGATGGCTCCATAAAAATTTCGCCAATCGGAAGACTTTTAGTTATTTGGATCGTAATTTCGTCTTTCGCTTGCTGTTTGGGATTTGAATGAATTAAAGATATTTAAAGTCTGGCATTTCTTAAACGGACTTAATTAATTGATAAATTGAAAATTGATAATATAGATATTTTATCGGCATATCAATTCCCCATATCCAAAGATTTATGCCAATTTATGCTAGTGAAAATATATTTATGAGTCGAATGATCTTTTTGCAACACCGTCACAATCCATCACTCTACAATGCTCTATTCGAAATGAGCCATAAAATGGATGGAACAAGTGAGCTGCTGATCCAATACCCTTTTTAACGTAGATATCTAGTCAGCACAACTGCGTCCCAGTCTGAATCCCAGCTTGGCAAGAGCGCATTTTACTATCTCGTACTGCCATAATCCTATTCAGCTTCAGGGAAAAAAAACTTTCTCGGAGATATCTGGTAGGGTGATTTCTCGATTATTGTCTCAGTATATCTTGTCACTTTTCTTGAGATTTAGGAGCAGAATTAGGGATGTTTTGCTCAAATCTGATATTATTTCTTTCTTCCATACCAGTGAGTACATTCATTGAAGACAAAGGCTTGATAGAAGACATTTTAGTCCGAAGATGATCTCTGGGAGTTTCGTTTGCCTTAACCTTCTATATGGCTCAACGAGCGGTATGTCCGGAACAATAACTGGTATATCGTGATTAAGCTTGGCTTTGAAGAATTCCTTCCACCTTACAAAATGATCCTTAATGGACTTAACACACCATTGCACACCACTGCTATCTCGTAGTATTTTATTGGCCGTTCCCAGAATTACTTTATGATGAAGGAGGAATAGTTTTCAATTATCACCTAAATAAAGCCATTTCCATTTTAAAAGTCACAAGTCACAACGTTCCAGTGGCAATTTCTATCTCGCCGTGCTTTTATCGTTGCGTCCCTTCCGTGAAGCATCCGATAGCCAGGATCTCCTAATATTTGTGCTTTGACAGTTTTTTCAAACAGTTTGGTAGTTTCCGATACCCAACTAGCATATTTCCTATTAGCATAGAAGAGGTTAATTTTCGGAGATTTTTGTTGGGACTAGTATTAATGTGCCTTTCTCTGAGATGTCGCTAATTTATATATTGAAATGCTTCAATAATTCGATTTGAAATACTCCACGAATCTTTTGGTTCAAGCTAGTTGAAAGGTAATTAAGGTAGTAGTTTCTTGCGAGTTGTTAATTTTATTTAATTTTATTCGAATCTTGACTCGAACATGGTCTAAAGTTTAGTTTCATTGCCATAATAAGGACGAATATCTAGTGCGGAATTTTTCCTACGGCAATTGACTAAGATCTAATCAATATGGTTGGAATATTAGTTTTCCGGAGAGTTCCACGTGACTAGATGTCTTCGATGTTGGAAGATATTGGAAGCAATACTATTAACAAAAAATTCATGCTCTTTAGTAAAATGAAGAACACGTTCTCCATTGATGCACCGGAGTGCGATGCCATATTTACTAGTGAATTCATTGTGGCGACATTATGACTTACGAGCACATTCCAATCTCTCCGATTATGAGCATGTCATGTCAATAGGAATAGCATTTCAATAGGAATAATATTTGTAGTTCCGCACAGAATTTATCCTTGTTACAGTCATCTGGTCATAAAGTTGGAGTATATATAATATACACTGGTGAGTGAAGTATTGAGAGATCCGAGTCTATATAACTGCAATTCGTTTGATCTTGCTATATGGTTGCGAAATACGGCCAATGAGAACGGAAAATATTAAGAAGCTATGCCTTTAACCACTCATGTCTAAGATATGTTTTACGGATATATTTAGAGCGGATAAAATTGCATATGATTGTATCCATCTTCGCTCAAATACCACCTGTATTAACAGTGTTATAAACAGTTATAATGTTATAATGTTATCACAGAGCGTCGTCTTCGCTGGTTAGGTTAGGTACGTTCTCCGAAGTACACCACAAGAGTTGACGCATATTTCTTGCTAAACCCTGTGATATTTGGCGTCAAAAGCAAGGAGGGCCAGTGAAGGCCTGGAATGATACAGTCAGGAAAGAAAAAGAATTTTGAAGATTTTGAACGCATAAGGAGACCAGCGATATATAAACTTAGACGATGGAAAAAGGAATGGCTTCTATTAGCAATGGCATCTGATTGAGCAGATTGGCTACATATTGTCCTTGTAGTTAGCATAGCGAACCTGACCACTAATGGTAAGAGCTGTTAGAAGAAGAAAAGCGAACTGTTGCAAAACCTTCCTTTGAAGTGCGCATAGGCCACGCGGTCGTGTTCTGCTCAACTGAGATATGACAATCGCTGTGCCTCGGGTTATCCGAAACAGCACAATAATATAGCCAACGCTTCTGCTTGGACCTAGTAATTGGTTGAGACCCGAAATGAGAAAAACGTGCCTCCGATAAACAAGCTGCATCCAAGCGATATTTAGAAAATGTGTAGACAGTGGTCACGTGTCTTGCAACCTCCATAAGCGTTCTAACATTCCATGCTGCTACAGCTAACACACCTTTCAAGTGTATTTGGGCTGTTTCTCTTGATTCCGATGAATTACTCTGGTTCGAGATCACATATTGTTCTTAAGCCTTGAGATCGTTTTACTGTGTCTGGATTGCATATTTATCGCATATCCATATTCAACTAGGCTGGGAGTATCGTGCAACAAAATCCTTTCACCGTAGTCACTTGAGTACAAAGTTACTGGTAGGCCTCGCATCCAGAATTTTTAAAATGACAAGTTTACACCTATCAAAGACAAAGAAAAATAAATTAGAAAATAAAAAGAAAAATATAAGATAATTTAAGATAATTTTGTAGATATGTAACTATACATCTTCTTCTGAAAAGGATGAGTAGGAAGGATGTTTGATATTTAGGAAAGATTTAGGAAAAAGTTGGGATATTTGATAGAATGCGCCAGGGATTAAGAGATATTAAGGGCCTTCAGTGGTGTCACAGTGTAGCATTACGCATTAACAATAGTACTATAACAATACTAAAAATTTAAGGACGTGCTGATGAGTTTAGCTAAAAAAACAGCTGGATGAGGCATTAAAAAGAATTAAGGAATTTTGGTGAGCAGTGTTATGAGAGGTACAATCGTCAATCAAATAACCTTAACGGTTATTAAGATCATATTAGGAAATATATGATAATAATACTGTAGAGCACCAATGCTTCGAAATGATAAACCCATAATAGTCCATTGAGCCATTCTATCGAATATCATTTAAAAATTAATCATTTGGTACAATATCTCTGGCTTAATGCTTTATTTACCATAAAAATTTGAAATAGAGCCTTACTGCACAGACTGGAAATATTTTCCAGTAGACAACAAAATCATGTAAAAAATCATTCAGCAGCATCCAACAAATTTCATTTAAATTTAAATTTTTAAATTTAAAAGCAAACAAAAATCATTCAGCAACACCCAAAAAATTTAATTTAAATTTAAATTTAAAAGCAAACAAAATGAACAAAAGCAAATAAATTTAAATTTGATAAGTTCATGGCCGCCAGTCCGACCAAGACTCGAAGATTTTGCCAGCTTCACGCAAACCACTGATATACGCGCCTGTCATTGTCTGAGGAAAAAAACGATTGGTACCCTAGAATCATTATGCCAAAAATACCGTTAAACAATTTCGTTCCGGCCAATAAGAACAATAACAACTGAAAAATGTGAAAGAATTATTAGAAAATTAACCTCTCCAGCAAAAAATACTTTTTCTTCGACATCAGCAGCCATAACGTCATAATCTTCACCACTTCCACCAACTCGAACATAAGAATATGACATTCCAATAAAAGGATCGCTACCCCAATGTGTCACTACATATCCCGTAGCGTTTGGTACATTCTACAAAGTAAATATGCTACAAAAAATAATAAAAAAGAAAGTAATTAAAAATATATTATATTAAAAATATATTAAAAATATAAATATAAATATATAATATAAATATATAAAATATATATAAAAATGTATTTATGAAAATTGTTCCAAATATATATTTCATTAAAGAAATAAAACCATCGAAACCCCATATATAACACTCCAAAAAAGATTTTACTTCCGTGGGGAACATTTCTCGGAGTTTATCGATGAACATATCCACGATTTCAACATCGCTCATCTGACTAACTAAATGTACCGAACTTCCGCATACATAAGACATAAGGACAAAGTGCTGGTTTTTGTCGGACTGTAAGGCAAAAATAAGCATTTTTTATAAGAAAACAAAGTTAAAATTAAAAATTTATCTAAATTTGAAAAATTTAAACAGATGAAAAAATATCAATAGCCAAAAAACTTACGCGAGTTGAAAAATCATAAAACATATTGAATAGACCACGCTCATCTGCAGTCTTGGGTATACGACCAAAATAATCCAAAGTACCATCTTTTTTAAGCAAAGAAGACCAAAATCGTCGTGGAAAACGAACAGCGACCTAAAAGATCGATTCATTAACGAAGAAATTTAAAATTATTTAAAAGCAATTTCAAGATCTTCTTCTTCTTCTAATAGCTCTCACCATTACTGGTTAGGCTGATTCCAACGGCTACAAGGGTAAGACACTTCCAAGCGGCGCGGTCTGATGATATCGTCGACAGTAATGGAAGCAATTCCTTTTTCCATCGTCCAAGTCCATATATTGCTGGTCCACCTCTACATTCAAAATCTTTTCTCACCACATCAGTTCGGGTCTTGATTGGCCCACCTCGCTTTTGCCAATTATCGCACGGTTTAGCAAATAACGAAATATGCATCAACTCCTGTGGTGGACGATGTAGAATCTGCCCTAATCATCGAAGGCGGCGCTCTGTGATAACATTATTTATGCAAGTGGCATTTGAACGAAGATTGATGCGATCATGTGATATTTTATCCGCTCGACGAATCCGTAATATCCGTACCTTAGAAAAGAATGGTCAAATGCAAATAATTTCTTGATATCCTCCACTCTCATTGGTCATGTCTCAGAACCATATAGTAAGATCAAACGGATCATGGTTATATAGATGCGGACTTTCGTTTTTATGGTGAATTCACGATGACTCCATAAAGATTTCGTCAACCGGAAGAATTGCCGTGATCTGAGTTGT